TGAGCGTTGTGGCTGAGTGGGGGAGAGGAAGAGGGTCCTCACATTCCACTTTAAAAACGACCGCCCCATTTTTACTTTCTTACAATGATTGGCTATGACTTCAGCAGTGAAAACTTTGTTAATGTAAGCTTTCAGTTTGCCAGAAAATTGAGACTTTTGGAACAGTTCGTCCAAACTCTACCATTTGTCTACTTCATACTCTGATTGATTTCCTACCACACTAATCAATCCATTTCCCATTACAGCCATAAAGTTTTATTTACTCCGGGAGGTGGAAACTGACTGGTTCATTTTTTAAAATTATCCATGCAGTTACTTAGACAACAAGAGTTACGCTGGTGTGCCCTTCCTCTGCACTCCTGTAAGGATTTGCACTCACCTCTTCTGTCCTCTGATTTGTGTGTGAACACAACTTCCTCAGGCTTGACCTTTGAACTCTTCAAAAAAGGGCCACCTCGGGCTGGGATGATGGCTCAGTCTGCAAAATTCTCTCCAAGCTTGAGGTCTTGAGTTCCATCCCCAGGACCCACCTGAAGAACCAGGCAGGTAGTGTAGCATGAATCGTTAAAAGGTCCGAAAAACAAACCCGGAGCCAGGTACTGCGGTCAACACTGGAAGATCAGAGAAGCAGAACAAGCCACAGCTTCCTCACCTCGCAATTCCTCAGCTGATCCTGTTTCCTCAGACCGAAAGCCTCTGTGTCCTTATCCAAATGGATCTCAGCTGAACTGCTTCTCAAAAGCCTGAAAGCTTAGCCAGTTCTAGTTCCTGGTCCTCACGCCTTATATACCTTTCTGCTTTCTGCGATCGCTTCCTGGGATTAAAGGCGTGAGTCACCATGCCTGGCTGTTTCCAGTGTGGCTTTGAACTCACAGAGATCTGGATGGATCTCTGCCTCCAGAAGGCTAGGATTAAAGGTGTGAGTGCCACCATTTTCTGGCCTCTATGTCTATCTAGTGGCTGTTCTGTCTTCTGACCCCAGATAAGTTTATTAGGATGCACAATATATTGGGGGACACAATATCACCACACAGGTAGTGACCACTTGTAATCCCAGTGGTGGGAAGAAATAAGTGGATCCCTGGGGCTCCCTGGCCCGCAAGGCTCAGCTCCCATCGAAAGACCCAGTCTCAAGAATCAGGACGACGGCTGGAGAGATGTCCCAGTGGTTAAGAGCACTTGCTGCTCCTCTAGAGGACCTGAGTTTGGTTCCAGTGCCCACGTGGGGGCTCACAACCACCACCTGAAACTCCAGCTCCAAGGTATCCAATGCTGCCATTCGGCATCCAAAGGAACCTGCATTCTTGTGCATATAACCCCACGTGGAAACATAGTCAAAAACTGAATTTAAATGTTTTAAAAACAGGGTAGATGGTACCTGAGGGATGTTGCTTAAGACTGACCTCTGAGTTCTACAAGTACACACACACACACACACACACACACACACACATACACACACACACACACACACACACACACACACACACACGAGAGGTTGTGGAACTCATGTTCTGCAGAGAAAAAATTTAAAATGTATTTGTGAAGTGATTGGAGTGCTGTCGTGAAGGGCCATTTGTGACACTCTGTAGGATATGGCAGCCCTTATGCTTTCTTGTAGTAACCAGATGATTGATCACACCATCAGATGTAATATTAGCCAAAACTGCCTGGTTGCTCCTCTGAACCTCTGAACCAAGCACCTTGAAGGAAGGAGGAATTCTTTCACTCACAGGACCCGCAGGGTCTGAGAGGTGGATCAGCTTCAAGGATGACTGCCAAGAGCACGGGCAGCATTAAAAGAGCTCCGTCTGTGAAGCAGCAGTCATGGAGTCTGCATGGTCTGTGCCAAGTCTGCTGCGTGTACATGCTGTGGTTGTTTAGCTTAAGTTTTAGTGGGACTCCTAACAGTAGGAGTGGGGTGTCGCTGACTCTTTTGCCTGCTCTTGGGACCCTCCCCTCCTACTGGGTTGCCTCATCCAGCCTTGATATGAGAGTTTGTGCCTAGTCTTATTGCATCTTGTTATGCCATGTTTGATTGATATCACTGCTCTTTTCTGAAGGGAAATGGAGGAGCAGTAGATCTGGAGGAGAGGGGAAGTGGGCGGGGAGAACTGGGAGGAGTGGAGGGAGGGGACAATGCAGACAGGATATATTATATTAGAGAGAGAGAGAGAGAGAGAGAGAGAGAGAGAGAGAGAGAGAGAGAGCACTTCGTCTCACCTATGGCTCTGCATTATCTTCCTGATTGGCTTTCCCTGGGCAGATGCAGATAGACATGACCTGTCCAGACTGGTTCTTACCACTTCCAAGTTCAACAGAAGAGCTACCTTTCCCTGTGTATTCCAAGAGAAGCACATTCCAGATTGAACTTGAGATTTGGGGTAGCTTAACTTGGGTCATGTGCTCAGGCAGCCATTATGAACCCCTAGTTGACTTCCTAGGCAAGGTCAGAGGAGTTTCTTTTTCAGGGATATGATAGTCCTTGGGTCACACACTCACGGTCCTGGCAGGACAGGATGTGAGCAGTGGATAGCTTCTGCCTAAAAAGCAGAACTAAAACAGGAAAAGATGGCCTCAAGGGGCTGGGAGGTGGCTCAGTGGAGAACACACTTGCCACACAGTGTGAAGACTACAGTTCAAATCCCAGCACTCACATAACAACCAGGCAGGCACACCTGTAAACCCAGCACCCTGGAGGTGGAAACAGGATTCCTGGGGCAAGCTAGCTAGCTAGACTAGAATATTTGACATACTCTAGGTTCAGAGTCAGACCCTACCTCAATAAATAAAGTGGAGAACCATCAGCATCAACCTATAGCCTCCACACACATGTGCATGCATGTGTGTGTGTGCACACACACAGAGTGAGAGACAGAGAGACAGAGAGAGAGGGGGAAACAGAGAGAGAGAGAGAGAGACAGAGAGAGAGAGAGAGAGAGAGAGAGAGAGAGAGAGAGAGAGAGAGAGAGAGAGTCCATCCATGGGAACAAGCAATGACCAACCCTTCAAAAAAACACTCCAAAGATTTCATTAGTGTTCAGTTCCCCACGTGGGTTTGTAGTTCTGGAAGGAAATAGGAGGTCCTCCATTGTTGTTTTAGTCCTTGCTCCTTTTGGACCCTATTAATTACCGATTGGTACCCCAGTTTTGGAAGTCATCACACCGGCAGGGCTGTGAATGCAATTATAAACACCTTCTATTTCTATCATTGAAGGTGGCCTCACTTGGACTCGCTCATTGAGTGATTAAGCATCAATCCTAAGTGACTGAAGCCACTGAGGAGAGTGAACATCTTTATCAGCAGAGAAATCCTCAGGCCAGGCTGGCTCTGGGCAGCTGTCTGTTTTTCTCCAATGTACAATGCCCACAGAGCCCTTCTGCTTGGCTTCATTCCCCCAGGGGCTCCTGCCCCAGCCCTGCGGTGTGAGATAGCTCACCTGGCACCTCCAGCTGGTGCTCCCAAGTTGTCACCAGAGGGATAAAAGTTGCACAGGCAGAGCTTGCCTGGCCATTACACACTGGGTTGGGTGCTCTTATTGGCAACTCTGATCAGAGATGATTCTAGAAATTTTCATATAGAAAACAAAGGTGATCCAACCCCACACCCCACAAACAGAGAGAGGTGGTTGATGAGTCTCCAAAGGAAGCATGGCTGCAGCTTACCAGAAAAAAGGGTGCTGCGTGACTGACACCTGCAGCCCCATAAGGGGGATTTACACACAGCTTCACACACTCCATCTCAGGATCCTAGCCGTATGGTTAGCTGTTCTGAATGTGTCAACACCGTGAGAAACATGGACCCTGGCCTTATAATAAGAACACTGAAGAGACAGTAGCAAAGGTGAGGTAGTTTATCTTATGAACTCGCAGAGCTCCTGGGATGGCGGGCTCTGAGAACACAGAGCACAGTGTCCTAACCTAATTCAGCCCTTCCTCTCTGTCCCCTCACTGAGTAATCAGGAGAGCGCTGTCTTACAATGCCAAAAAGGTCTTGTTTTCCCTCTGGCGCTTACTCTTTTTCTCAACAAAAGCCTCATGTGGGTTCTTCTCTATGTATCATAAAATAAATATTCTGCATTTTAAAGCTTTCCAGGCACATGACCTTTTTATATCTACAGGTCACTAGGCAAACGTGACTGTTAGTAATTTTCTAGTCTAAACTTTTATGGGGGGGGGGTGCATAACTTAGCAGAGGTAGTTGTGGGAGGGCATCAAGACTAGCAAACATTTTGTTTTGTTTTGTTTTGTTTTTTATTCTGTATTCAGACCTAAGACCTAATACAATTTTCAGAATGAACCATCAGATTTTATTTCTTACAAACATGGCCTTTGAGATCTGTCCAGTAGTCAAGAAATATATGAATAAGAAGACCTAGTCATACACTCTCACTTATGGTAAATTTATGAGTCCGTGTTTACATTAAAATGCAAAGTCCAGATTTGGTGTCCGGGATACCAAAAGAACAACAACAAAGGAAATACCACATAAGAGACACTAAACCTCCTTTACTTTTCCACCTGTACCAAGGAAGCAGTAGTCAGCTTGATGTGCTCATAAGAAAGACCCAGTATACTGAGGTGTGCAAAGAATAGTGGCCCAGGGTTCCTAAAGCCGCCATCTTTGTTGTGACCTCAGGGGTGGGGCTAGCCTATGTCCAGATCAGATTCAGAAGTTTTCTTGACATGACAGGTGTAGGCATGAACATCCACCATGAGTATACGCCCACACCTAGGCCATAGAACATTCTAGAATGTGTAAAATCTCCCTGTAACAAGGACAAGTTATTAGAATCCATTCTGGTTGCCATTTCCAATCTAAAGATGATAACTATCACTCTAGAATGATTTCAAAGGTACATATATACCTAATATATATAAAATATCATGGTCAGTTAAAGACACCTGCTCTAGAAGGTATAGGAAAAATGTTCACCAGTTCTCCAAAACAGTGCCTCAGATCTAAACATTGTTTTCTCTGGTGTTTCTTTGCTTTGTAGACTCTGGAAAATCCCAAGTATGAACTGATCATTGAAGCTCAAGATATGGCAGGACTGGATGTCGGATTGACAGGCACGGCCACAGCCACCATTGTGATCGATGACAAAAATGATCACTCGCCAAAATTCACCAAGAAAGAGGTAAGCCCAGAACAGTGTTATGGGACCCCTGTGACTGCTGTGTATCTAAAATGCCTGACCCCTGGGAGACAAAGGCACTTAGTCTTTTTAAAGTCCATAAGAAAATAACTTTTAATACCAAAGTGCCATTTCCATAGCACTGTGTTATGTGTGTCCTATTGCAATTTTAGTATAGCAGTAAGTGCAGACGGAGAGGCCGTCTGAAGAGCAGCAAGGAGGAAGAGTGGATTTTCCTGGTAATTGCATGGTGACTCATGGACATATAAAAAACTTGAGTTATTGTGTGTAGAGGACCATTGTTTATCACAGGCATGGACCATGTGCTGTTTCTCATTTAAACCAGGGAGGGGTTGAGATGTAAGACCGCATTCTACTGCTGACTTGGTGCCTGACCAAGAAGTCATGAGCATTATGCATGGGATGGACACATGCTAAAGTCAGGGCTTCTTTGGGTCAGAACCAAAACCACATATTTGACACCATTCCTCCACAGCTGGTTAAGGGTATGGTAAAGCAGGTACTATTTGTGAGATGTTGAGATGCTGAGATGGGGCTTGGTAGAGAGGATGACAGGCTGAAGATAGTTATGGAGAACATGTAAATGAAGATGAAGGGGGTGGTGGGGACCATGTTGCTATGGTGATGATGAAATTCTAAACATGAGCCATTCTTATCCAAAGGGCCATTCCATGTTTTGTATTTGTGTCTGTATTGTGAATGAGGGGGTGTGCATGTGTATAAATATTCACATGTGTGGGGATGTACATTTACATGTACAAGTGTATGCAGGGATGCACATATACACATGGAAACCAAAGGTTCACATCCTCTGCCTTCCTCGATCACTCTGTGCCTTATAGATTGAGTCTCTAACTTGAGCCAGAGCTCACCAATTCAGGTAACCTAGCTAGTCAGCTCTGAATACACCCTGTCTCTGTGTCCTGAGCACTGGGATTATAGGCTGCCATCATGCCCACCCAGTTTTCATGGGAATATTAGGGATCTAAACACATGGCAAGCACTTTTCTTGATGCCCTAAGAAGAGAGAAAGATGGATTATAGATGTGAAGACCAAGGCTTATCAGCTCAGGATGGAAATTCTGATCATTTCAAGTTGGGACTGTCTTGGATGCTATCTTAGTATGAACTTCTACACACATGAGCGTGTCCCACAGTGGGGTCACAGGTGTGTGTGGTTGTTGGGAAGGTGTGTTTTCCACATTTTCTTTATGTAGTGGTCTATCTTGTTGTGGGTAGGGTACCTTTTTCTCTGTTTCAGAGAACTATATAACATATAATAAGATGTTACATATAATAAGACTGAAAATGACTCTGTTCACTAAGATGTTTGACTCACATAAAACTCTCAAGCAGATGGTCCACAGGCCATAACAGTGATACTATCATATTGGTTTCTATCTTAATTTTCTATTACCATGACAAAACACCATGACCAGGGCAACTTATAGAAGAAAGCATTTCATTTGAGGCTCACGGTTCCCAAGGGTTAGCACATGGCCATCGTTGTGGGGAGGTGCTGGAACAATAGCTGAGAGCTCACACCCTTATTCACAAGCATGAAGCAAAGTGAATGGTTTGGGTTTTTGAAACCTCAAAGCCTGCCCCTAGTGAGACACCTTCTCTAACAAGGCCATGCCTTTTAATCCTTCCCAAACAGTTCCACCAACTGGGAACCAAGCATTCAAACATATGATCCTATGGGGGTCATTCTCATTCTAACCACCACAGCTTCCAAAAAAAGACTTCTGATTTCTGCCCAGAGCTTAGTAGATGTTCAACTAACTCTAGCTGACCAACTTACATTTTCTGGCCAAATTCAAGTCTTACAGGGTGGGGGTAAATCAGTTTCTTGTTCATTTTAATACACTGTGTTTGCAAATTATTTTCAGAGTTTTAAAATCAGGTATCAACCATTTTATTCATTTAGTCAATCCATTTCATTTTCAAATTATACCTTAAGTTGATCATCAGTAGTTTAGATTAAAGAAATATTTTTTTGCAATTTTAATATATTTTTATTAATTATTTAATAATTTCATACTTTGTATTCATACCAAATTCACCCCTAAATTTATCCCTATTACTCCTCCCAGATCTACCCCCACACCCCACTCAACTTTGTGTATCCCCATTTTTTCTAATAACCCGTGGAGTCCAGTTTTGTACAGTCTATGTGCTTAAGGATGTGAAGCCTTCCACCAGTATATGACCCACCCATCAGAGGTCACATCCTTAAAGAAAACTGACTCTCACCCCTAGCAGCCATCAACTGTCAAGAGCCCCTCAGCTTGTGACTGGGGCTCCTGAGCCCTGCCCCACTCCCCCTGGAATGTTGACTGGCTCCATCTTATGCAACTTGAGTTCTTCCCACATACGTATTTTATGGTTGAACCGCAACATTACCGTATGTATGATAATAAAGCCGTACAACTTCACTCCAGTCCTCTAGTTGAAAAATAAGAGCAAGCCAGACTAAAAGAAAACCCCAGTTTTCACAGAGGGGTGAAGCCGTCCAGTGGACCCAGAGATCTGGACAGACACTCCCATCAGACGGAGGCAGCCTGTGAGGTGGCCTCTAATTCCCAGGGCCTGTGACATGACAGCCCAGCTGTCTTACTCTCCTGGTGCCTTTAGCTTTTTCAATGTGAAGATATTTTCTTAATCAACTACCTAGTGATGCCTCATAATTCTTTTTCTCTCTCCTGTTGCCCTGCAGAGCCTCCAGGGCTTCATCACACCCTTAGATAGGTAGCATCATTTTCTACAAAAGGACAAAAGCAAAAGGTCTCATTTTTCCTCCAGCAGAGTGGATTCTGTAGATTTTGCTTCGTATGATTGATAGCTGGGAGCCTGTTCTGCCTTTAGAAGGCATCTCCCTATTGGAAAACATGTGTAAATGTTAAAGATTATTGTCACATTGGAGAAAATCTCTATCAAGCTTCTGTCACATACATAGGAATTGTTCATTTTCCAGGGGTCCTGTGTAATGGCTAATCTTTACACTGACGCCACATGTCAGCCAGGCTGTCGTCCGTGGCCCTGTTTTGTGACCTGTTCTGAGTTTTGTGTTGTCTTTACTAATGTGAATGTGACGGGTCAACTCAGCAAGCATGTAAATCTGTTTCTAATGTGTTCATTACAACGTCTCCCTTCTTCACTGAATTTAGCAGACAATGAAGGAGCTACTTCATGTCTGGTGTACAATATCTGCTTTTCCTCTTACAGAACTGGCTGAGGCAGGAAGACATGGGTTTATTCATTTCTAACTTTATCACATTTGATCCATAATCTATTAAGGTTTTACTAGTAGCAGGTTTATTGAGACATTATTCACGTACCATAGAGCATACCCTTTGATAATGTGCAAGTCATTGGATTTTAATATATTCACAGAATCATGTGGCCATAACTACTGTCTGGTTTTTTTGTTACCCCACAAAGAAACCTGCATCGTTATCATCACTTACTTCCCCATTCCCCTGACCCTTTACCCAGCAGCAATTTTGCTTTTAGTCTCCAAGGATTAGTTGTTCAGGGCCTTTCACATCAAGAGAATCCCATAGTGTTCTTTGCTGTTGGCCTCTTTGCTTAGCATGTCTTCTAGGTTCATCCAAGTTGTAAGGTCAATCCATGCTTCGTTCCTTTGAGTGACTAAATAATACTCCACAAAGTGGATATATCTCATTTTGTTTAGCCACTCAATTCTTCAAAAGCACTTAGGCATTTTCAATTGTTTGAGTACTATAAATAGACTACTGTGAATACTCACATACAATCTATACATTTCTATATGAATTTTCCCTTTTATAATTTCCACTGAATTTATTCTTTGACAGCTTCATACATGTTTATAAGGAATCCTGGGTACCCTCACACCCACCCTCCCTTGTCTCTCCCCCACACCCATCATCGCTCCCCAATTCCCTTCAATGTGCCTTTCCCACATTAATTTTTTTGGTTCTGTGACCCACTGAGTTTAACCCAGGCCGTCTGTGTGACTATGGGCTTCAAACTCTCTACTGGAACCTGGTGGGCCACCAGGAGGTATACAGCTGAAGATAGTGGCTGTCCCTCCCTAACTGTCTACCAGCATCCAGAAGTTCAACTTGTAGGGGTTTGATCCACAGGTGAGCCCCTCCCTGATCCATGACCTTACAGAGCCTTAAAAGGGTGGTAGAAATGTCCTTAAGAGCTAAGCCCTCAATCGTCACTTACCCTCAGCTCCTTGAGCCATTGCCTAGGGTTCCTTATAAATAGAAGCTTCTAGATTTTCTTTCTACTTCACAGTATCTGGAGTGAAGAAAAAAAGGAGTCGCCCACAGCATCACTCCAAATTAGTCACCTGAAGCCTCTCCCTCATTTTATTTTGCAATGTGAAGGTTGCACTCAGAATGGCTTGCTCAAGTGACACTGTCTTCTGAATAGCCCAGGACTGTCACAGAGATGATTACATCCAGCCTGGGTGATTTAACTCTTGACCAATGATACAAACCTCCATCATCAGTCAACTAGGAGCCACAACCTGGGAGCTTCCTCCTAGCACATATACCCCCTGCGCCTCTGTCTCCTTCCCCCACAAACTAGCTTTATAGTTAGGTTCCTCTTTATAGAAACAAGACTTTACAGCAGATCTCTCATGAACAGCTTTGGTGAAGTTCCTCTGCCGTCCCATGTAGCCATAATCTATCTGTGCTCATAACCGTGTGAATATATCTGAATGCACTCATCGACTCTGTGTGTGAACGCTTGGGCTGTTTCCTGTGTGGAGTCAGCTTGGTTAGCACTGGGACAAACATGGCGGGTTGTGACTCTGGTGCCTGTGTGAATGTGTGTGTGTGCCTCTGCTTGGGGTTCACCTCTGGCTGCAGTGGTTGAACCCACTTTCTTGATACAGCCAGTGTGCTAAGGTAGTTATTTGGGTTTTGGGTTTGTATTGGACCGGCCAATGAGAACTTCGGGTGCTGCATTGTTATTGGACT